ATCATGATATTGAAAATAACGATACTGAAAATTGTGATTTTATTGGTGATAATAAAATGCTATGGCAAGAATGATTCGATAATGTATTCATATCTTATAAGTGATAACAATAAAACTGAAAGCAGCTATTAAGATGTCAATGAAGATGATTATAACAATGATAATAATGCAACACTCAAAATGTTATCGCAACATCAGTAATGAAAATGATAAAAACAGTGATATGGACACTAACGGTAACAGTAAGAATGGCTATGATAATAAAGGATTGGTAAAATAATTAACGATTGTAATGCTAAAATGAAAAGGAGGATGATGAGTCGGGCTTGCGTTCACACACTTAAGCCTTCGTAGGCCTTTAAGTAGATTACGGGAAGCCCAAATCGTTGGAATTGTCTCTACTACCAATCAGCCATCATTGTTTTCAAAGATTCTGATTGGTTGGTGAGTGCGCTGCCAGGCGTAAGAGAGAATGTGGAAAAACTATCGGTAAGGGCCGTCATAAACAGCAGAGAGAGGGAGAGGGATAGAATGCAGTCCTTTATCAGCAGAGATGCAAGATGGTGTATGGGGGAGAGATCAGAGGCGGCGACACGGCAATGCTTATCCGAATTACACCACGCTGTAGAGTCTTTACTTGCTGTCGCCGAGACACTGAACCACTTCGGAATTCATAGGTACAGTCAGGATCAAACCTTTGTCGAGCCTGTTTCAAATTCGGTTTCGAACATCCGCTTCATAACACACTTTCTGTCTGGGGGAAGACAGATTCGAGGCTTCAATTCATCAAAATACTTTTGCCCGCTACTGTACCGCCATTCCCGCGAACCATGCGAATGCTATGATAGAGCCTAGACTTGGGATTCAGATGTCTGCAACTCATTCATTAACCACAACAACGTCTGGGCTTCGGTCAAAGTTTTGCAAGTCTGTTACACGTATTTCAATTCTGTATAAATTCTTACATCATGTTATACAGGTAATCATGGCTCAAGCAACGCATTCGAATCATTTGTAGTAATGGTCGATAACCAAGCCTCCGGATTCGAAGGCTGCCTTGCTTTGTCCGCTGCTGAGCCAAATGTGAGTGAGAATGACACCTTCACGGCCCAATTTGAGGATGGAATTGAGACAGAAATTGGCGTTGGTCCCCCTCCTCCCTTTTCTAAACGGAATAGCTGAGAACAAGGAAATATGAGTCGATTGATTTGAATATAATCCTGCACTGGAACTGTATAATTTTGTGTATAATAGCCAATCGTAATATCTTTATATACATTATATATATATATATATATATATATATATATATATATATATATATATATATATATATATATATAACATTCATGTGTATATATAAAGGCACAAACCTCAAGATTTTCGAATTTTCAAATTAGCATTGAGTAAGTCATTCGTAAAACAAAATTCAGTCTTAACATACTCTTTTAAATGATATGTTGCCATCTGTTATTATCAACGATGCTTTGATTTATTTTTCAACAATTGTTTGTATGCGATTTGCTAAATTTCAGCGAATTTCATGGCCGATGTCAAAGTCTATTTCCATTAATTTTTGTTGATGTGAATCTTAAGATATGAAAATAAATAAATAAATACTGAAGCTGTTTTTGACATAATCTTTTCAATAGTCTGAACATTTTTTTAGTCAAGGCCATATTCTATCATATACTCAGTGGAATAGTCAGTGACAAATATACTTTCCATCTCTTTCTCTTCTGCAACTAGAATATACTACTTAATATAATATTGCTGTAATTCTAGTGTTTGTAGTATTATCTGTATTATTATTATATCTGTAGGCCTACATGTACTGTACAAGAATGCGGCCATATTTCCATATTCTTTATATTTGCTTCTTCCAGTTTGACCCTCACACTTTGGTACACTTGTAATCTTATACCATAACAAAGAATCGATCGTTTGCGCCTATTTCTTTATTTATTATTATTATTTTTTTTATTATTATTACTATATATATATTTTTTAACCTCACCTCACTCCCAGTTTATAGAAATATATTTACACACACACACACACACACACACACACACACACACACACACACACACACACACACACACACACACACACACACACACACACACACGCACGCACGCACGTGTGTATGTGCGTGTTATATCTACTGACTTGTATGAATATTAATGCGAAAGAGGTGCCTGCGTCATGTAAACAAATGCACATCCCAGCATGGCCAAAGCATCGGTTAATGAGAAACAACAGTTGTTCCTTATTTTATTAGATACAAATATATCATATCTGAAAATTGAAATGTGTTAATAACATCATAGAATATAATTTTTACCAGAGACATCTCTCGACGTCGCTGTATACCTTTCTGCGGGGAATACATCAAATGGATTACACATTTATTGCTTATTGAGTGAAAATCAATGAGACACAAACAATATTTCTATTTTGATAAGAGCTCCTCACTATCATATATTTTGCTTGGATCCCAATCCTTATGCATAAAGTGCAAAGGAGCTTTCTAGATGAAGGGTTGAAATTAGGATTATAAAAAAAATCTAATGAGTCACCTGTTTAAGCAATAAGAACAGACCTCAATTTCTCTATCAAATTTCATCGAGTTTCTATTACACTGTAGTATCTATTAAACAAGATTCACACTCAAATTCATATGTTGTAAATATTATCACAATCAACATGATTATAGTTCACTAGTATCAAAGCAAGTTTCCATAAACCATAAGAAAATATGTAATGCATTCTTAATTTAAGTGGTGGCATAGCTGTTGGTTAATTTGACCTCATTTCCCATGGTTTAAATTAAATACACAAAAAATATTACATGTACAACTTCTCGGTCCTTCGTAAATGTCATATATTGTTAGTAACAAACACAATTATTTGAATATTCGTCCGTAACTGGTACAAACTCTTTATTTTGTTTATTTATTGTTTATCCTTTTTTTTCTAATGTACTTTTGGTTGATATGAGTCCCTTAAGAGAATTCCCAAATATGTTTTCACAGAATGCTCTCAGTATTCAATGTTATATTAGAATAATCATTATCTTCATCTGTGTGATTTTATTTCATCATAAACAAGATTAGAAAATCTGTATTATTACTCTATAAAATCTATAAAATCATTTTCATCATTAAGTTGACATTCAAAAATCCGGCAACCACCGGACCTGAGGCGTACCGTATTTTGAAAATGCCGTATTTTTTGTTATATATACCGTATATATTTAACAGAAAATAAATACGTGCAGTTCTTTGAAGAGAGAAATCTAAACTCTAAATGAAAAGCAAATGAAGTTCTAATGCTCACCAACTAATTTTTTTTTCTTCTTTTTAGCATTTCCACTTTCTCTGCAACCAACAACACATGATGCTTACGTTTTACACCAACTCTTGTCTGTGCTGAAGCCATAATGGAACTATACAGCAGCAAAAACATTACAAAATGAGTCTGAATGAGCAGGATTGCCTGTTAACACGTGCAAGCAAGACCCAATAGCTCGTTCTGTATTCCAACGCCATCAAAACGTAAATGGCGACTCCAGAAAACGAGCCAAAGCGGTAATTTGAAAGTGCGCTCCGAAATCAATGCCGGAAATCTGAAGGAACCGGATTATCGATGGTCGAATTTTTGAATGTCAACCTGTATAACGTGATTTTATTTTATTATATACAATTGTCCCTTTTTCACTTTGAACATTAGAAAATCTGCATTATTTAAGTCTATAAAAGATCTATTTTGTATTTAGGTTGCCCTGGGATGTTAACTGTACAAGGTCACATCGTGTCAGCATGTCAGGATTGAGTTTTCAAATAATATGTCATATCTAGGGTAAAGCCTCTATCAATGTTAAACTGACTGTATTTTCTATTGTTTTTTTTTTTTTCAGCGCTTTAATTCTATGAAGACAAATACACTTCATATTCATATATCCAACATTGGCATTGATCATAAACAGCCAACTTTGAAATGCCATTTTTTTTTCTTAATATACAAAAGATATTTACTTTCTTAATCTCAACAACTTTTGACTTTGTGCATTAGCTAGTGTGCTAAGCTAAAGTATACCTGACCTAATAACAATATTACTGTTTATGAAAAGACATTTTAAAAATCTAAGTCTCAAAACAGGGTATTTCATTGCAACCTAAACCTATGTGATCCTTTTCTTACCAAATTTACACATGATTACCAATATATATATATATATATATATATATATATATATATATATATATATATATATATATATATATATATATATATATATATGTATATATATAATTTCTTTTTATATTTGGTGCTGATTCATTTGATTCTTAGGTTCCATCATTTGATATATATATAGTAAATAAAACATTAAAGTGAAGATTCAAAATGGTCAAAAACTACATTATGAACGTAATTAAGTTGTCTATATTGCTGACCTGTATTTCAAATGCTGCTCTGCATTAGGTGATAGAATGAGCTTAACGATATGGTAAAGTACACACCGATATATGTGCATGTAATCCATATATGTGTGTGTGTGTGTGTGTGCATATACAATATATAATAAATATATATATGAATATATATGTTTGTGTCTGTGTGTATATGCATGTAAATATGTATGTATACATATACATACATACATACATATATATGTATGTATGTATGTATGTGTGTGTGTGTGTGTATATATATATATATATATATATATATATATATATATATATATATATATATATATATATATATATATATATATATATATATATATATATATATACACACACACACATGAATATGACATTGTATATCACTGGCCAAATGGTTTAGCCCATCACATGCCTGCTTGAGTGAGGCTCTTAAGAAACACGACTTATAAACAGGGAAGTATCTGCAGAGTTGCAAATGTTTGATTGTTCTCTTCGTCCCTCACATCAATCTTTATTACAAAATGGTACAAAACAAAAACACAGATATTTAGCAAGTCTATGGTGTTCAAAGCCAAACAGAACTGTAATATATAATTAATGAAATTGATAACATTTATTCTGCAAACCCTCGGGATATGCAGGTCTATAGTTATTAATGTAATAACAAATACAGTGTAGCCCCCTCCACGTGGACGCACAGGGTTGCCAACAGAAGGGGTCATCTTGCTGCGCCTTAAGAAGACAGTTGGCGTTAGCTCGTGTTGGTAGCACTGCTTGCAACTGGTCTAATGGGCAGCGGTGAGAGTTTCCCGTTGCAGTACCTGGATGGAATGGAAAACAGCTTTATCAAGGGATAAGGAGAGAACTTTACATCAATTCATTCAAGTTAAAGAAAAAAAATACTGGTAAGCCTTCCAACCCACGCAACATCTTGAGACAGCAGATTCTGACTCTCCTCTTCCTCTTCTTCTTCTCCATCTCGCATCCCTTTTCCTCCTCCTCGCTCCCTTCGAACACCTTCTCCTCCTTCTCGCCCCCTTCCAACACCTTCTCCTCCTCCTCCCCTTCCAACACCTTTCCCCAAAAGGACTCACCGAGTGACGAAATTGTGCACGGTGGCGGTGGACACCTCGACGCCGTCCTCCAGCAGGAACTTGGCCCCTTCCGCGAGGTCCAGGATGGCCACCAGGGGAACCACGTCCTCTAGGCAGGCGAAGTCCCTCACGCTGTCGGACACTTCATCCTGGAGGGGGGCGGAGGAATGCGTTAACGGGGGTGGAGTTCGAGGGAGTTGCTGTGAGGTCCTGTCGGTTTCGTTCGCCTCGGTTTCTATTTCTCTCTCTCTCTCTCTCTCTCTCTCTCTCTCTCTCTCGCTCTCTCGCTCTCGCTCTGTGTATAGAGTTGTTTTACTATTAGCAGCTCGGAGAGGGTGGTGATGATAATGATGATCATGATAAAAAGAGAAACAGAGAGACAGAGACAAACAAAACAGAAAACAAAAACCCAACCCCCCCCCAACCACCCCCACCCATCGCCCCAACCGCCTCCCAGCACTCACCTCCCCAGCCACGAAGAACTGCAGGGTGAGACTCCCCTCCTGCGCGTGCTCCAGCAGGTACTCCTCGGCCACGGGGAGTAACACGTCGCGTCCGAACTGGAGCTCCGTTGTCTCGCCGTCTGGAGGGACAGGGAGTGTGTTAGGCTGGTGTTATGGCGCGAAGGTTGGGAGTAAAATGGCTAGTTGGGTGGTTAAGGTGATTATCGTTGGGGCTTTTTTTTTTTTTTTTTTTTTTTTTTTGTGTGTGTGTGTGTGTGTGTGTGTGTGTGTGTGTGTGTGTGTGTGTGTGTGTGTGTGTGTGTGTGTGTGTGTGTGTGTGTGTGTGTGTGTTGAATGTGTGTTGGTGGTAATGTATGCATGTATGTAGGCCTATGTATGTATGTATGTGTCTATGTATGTATATATGTGTTTATGTATGTATGTATGTGTCAATGTATGTATGTATGTAAGCATGTACGTATACTTCCGTATATGTATGTTCTTCTAAATTTGTGTTCCTAAGTGAATAGATACTGTGGTTGTTCTCATACGGCTTAAGTGGTTAATAGACTCCTAAATTGTTAAATGTACTCACAACGGGATGGCAATATAATGGGAAAAACATCGAATATATACCAAGGACAAAATACAATAATACAACATGACTGTCTTACTAAAAGCCCAATAATCTAATATCTGCGGTAGGTAAAGTGGTGTTCATAATACCGCAAAAAAAAAAAAAAAAAAAAAAAAATTGATGGATGGAATATCGTCTAATTATACGGCGTCAACAACAAATAAGTAAATGTTTAGGTACATGAAAAAGCAGATAAATATACGAATAAAGAGATAAACGAATACACAAACAAATAAAATAAGTGAATAACCAAATCAACAACCAAATCAGTCAACCAACGTACGAAAAAGAAAGAAAAAAAACATAATGAAATCAATAACATACACACAAACAACTAAACCTGAAATACACAAACAAAAGACACAACACACAGGAAATACACACAAACACAAAACATATAAACAAACAGCCAAACAAACCACTCACCCGACCACCCAACCACTCAACCACCTGACCAACCACCCAACCACCCACCCACCAACCACCCAACCACCCACCACCACCAACCACCCAACCACCCGACCAAACAAGCAAAACAGATGAAAATGACACTACCTGTGAAGAGAACCAGACAGGGCGATTCCTGCAGGCGCGCCATGTGTCTCTCGGCCAGCACCTCGACGCTCTGGGGCCGCCACGGGAACCGCTGCGGGGGAGGGGAAGGGAAATCGGAAAGTAGTTGAATGTGGATAAAATCTGAATGTTTATAAAAATCTGAAATCTGAATGTTTATAAAAATCTGAAATCTGAATGTTTATATAAATCTGAAATCTGAGTGATTATAAAAAAATCTGAAATATGGACCGAATCTGAATGCTTATGAAAATCTGAAATATGGACTGAATCTGAATGTTTATAAAAATTGAAATATG